CCGTGCCTGTCCCGTACGTACATGGACTACGGTCCTGTCTTCAAGGCGCGGCTTCGTGCCAGTTGGCAGTCGACTTGGAGTGAGCAACGCCATAACAAGCTTTTCCAGATCAAACCTTCTGTTGGTCTTTGGCCGTCTTGCTTCCGTAAGGATCGGAAGGAGGAAGTAGTGCTGGCAAGGCTACGCATTGGTCATAGTTTTTTAACCCATCGTTTTCTTTTATCAGGTATTGACCCACCGATGTGTAGCCATTGTGACACTCAAGTCACAATAGCCCACATTTTACTGTCGTGCCGTCGTTACGACCATGAGCGGCGGCACCATTTTAGACACATTTTTTCTAAAGGTTTACCCCTGACGCTGGACAGTGTCATTGGTAATGGTGACACTGTCTGACTAGATTGTATTTTTAATTTTTTACACACTATATGTCTTTTTAATTCTATATAAATCTTTTACCGACATGTATTGATTTTTAACTCACTGTTTTTTTACATTTTACTCTAATCTACTTTCATTGCTTTTACCGGTTGTTTGGCGCAGATAGCCTAGCTGCTTTGCACCATAAAACACCAAACAAACAACCAACCAATGACTGTTTTGATAGATATGTAAGTAAAGTTTCTTATTCAAGAAATTGAGTAGCCTTCCTACCATCATTGGTAAAAAAAAAAGTAATGCAAAGTTGGTTTCTCAATAATAAGGTTCTCATTGGGAGTTATTTAAAAAGTTATTTTTGACTCAACCTTCACCTTGTAGTCCATTTCAGTATATACAAATCTTTGATTTTTAATTTATAGTTTTAAGTTTATAAATTTTGATAGCTCTACCTGTCTTAACAAAAGTTTTGTTTTTGTTAATTTTTTATAAACCCCCAGCATCTCTTTTCACTAGTTAATTTCATATTCACCAGCATCCTCTTTTCATTAGTTAATTTCATATTCACCAGCAGTATCATCACTCTTAGTTTGATTTCCCAGCTTTCATTATACAAGAAAAAAGTTTAATTTTTGATTGATGAAATATTAAAGTTTTCATTAGGCTAACATATTTTGATTTTTATACATTGAAGATAATTATATCTTCACAAGGCTGGTGACGTAGACATTCTTGGTATGGCGTCATTTTTACCAGAAACTGATAGTGAAGATGAACTTCCACCTGGCTGGGAAGAACGAGTCACCTTAGATGGGAAAGTGTTTTATGCCAAGTATGTAACTCCTAGGGGTGCCTGCTGTGAATTATAATATTCAAGGTTTTAAAATTTTTAACCATATTTTTAACATGCAAGTCTAACATATTTATTATAGTTAACTAGGACAAAATCTGAAATTTTAGATGCTGAGTTTTTTTGAGGATAAAATGCTTATTCCTTGAAATTTATTCCTTCCAAAAATGATAATATATCTTTTTGTTTTGTAGTCATGAAACAAAAAGCACACAGTGGATGCATCCTTCTTCTGGAAAAAAGAAAAAAGTTTCTGGTGGTAAGGTTAAGAGTTTTTAGAATAATACAGTCTCATGGCTTAAAATAAAACTCATAACCAGTCTAAAGTCACAAAGTATGTTAAACTGTTACGAGTTTCATTCTGTGTGATTTACATAATTATTATTTCAGTCATTTTAACATTTTTACTATGGACAGGTCAAAGAGAAGTCAATGTTTTAGTTATGTTCAAAAGTTAATTAAACAACTTTATTAACAAAGTATGTAAATAAAATTGGCATAAAAACATAGTTTATAATTTAAATTTTAATATTATATATATGTTATAATTTCTTAATTTAAAACCAAATATTAAAAACAAAATGCAAAATATTGTTTTTTGTGTGTAGCATGGCATGTCCTCTTGTCTTATTGGTCAGAGTAGCCATTCCAACTACTTTCAGGAGAAGTATCTTGGAAGTTCATGGTCAATCCTGAAAATGATAAGATAGTACTACTCATTTTATTTCAAATTTATTACGATGATTGTGAGTTTAGTCAAATTGATCAAATGCATATAGGGTTAAGATATAGAAAATAACAGTTAAAATATAAAGTTTTACTGAAAATATATAAACATTTGATATTTATTTAGCAGGTTCTAGAGATTATGCAAATGAAATTTGATAATTTTTAGATGAAGAAAAGTATTTATAATCTTAAATTGAAAATCACTTTGCACTCGGAGCAATCAACACTGATTCCATATATTCAAGGGCAACAATTTACTAAAGTACTTAATTAAAAATTCTGATTTTGTCTACAAAAGAATTATAATGTTTACTAAAAGCATGAAAAATTGAATGAAGATACACAAAACATGTTCAAAGTTATACTATGGAAACTGATAATTACTTTGTGGTTACAAGGTTAGGCACATTGCCTGACCCATTATTAAAAGCACATCAACTAAAACTAAAGGAAAGGAAAGAAATAATCAAGGCACAGTGATATACTTTCCACATTAAGAATGGACAGGTTATCAAAAATTAATTACTGAATTAAAAAATAAAAGGATTTGTAGTTAAGTATCAAACCACATAATCTGTGCTCTGTCCACAAATCAAAATGAAGAAAAACAGAGTAAAAAAGCTTTTAACAAAGATATACATTAAAAATATTTAACAATGAATTTAATCTCACCCACTCAAAAAGGGGGTGGTCTCAAATCATGTATGTAAAAAGAGTTCTTAACTCTACCTGTGTGGGCTTGGCCATTTTAACCAGCCTTGTAACCATGAAACTATATATATATATATATATATATATATATACTGTAACTGGGAATGTGCTAAATGTATTTTCATGAAATTTTGCAAGCTTTTAGTATACATTTCAAGTCTGTCCACTAAAAATCAGAATTTTTAATGAAATGTTTCTATTAAAGAAGTGTTTGAGAACTTATAAATTCTGAACAGTCAGTAAAAAGTAATTTTCTTGCTAAAAATAGATAAACTTCTGTTCATCTTACAGTTTTCACATTTCATTTACATAACCTCTAGGATATCCTTCAAAATATTGTAAGTTTTTTTAGTGAAACTTCATAATTTATCTCTTATTTTCTCTACCCTAAACAATTATAATTATTTATCTTAAGAGCTTTAGGCATCTTAACGTTTTACATTCTTTCATTCAATTTTATTGTTTTATTGCTCTTAGAACCATTTTTTACCACTGTGAAAAGCAGAAATTCATTTGGTGGGACAATGGAGCAAACAAACAGATCACATTACATCATGTGTGTTTAAACTGTGTATGTTTTTTGTGTTACTTAAGGAGTGGTGACAAAAGAAATTTTATTTATGTTTTCATGCAAGTTTTCTTTTCTAACCTCATAATTTTTAACTATGACATTTAAGTTATTTTTTAAAAATGTAGTAGTAATTAAAAAATGTACATAAAAAACAGGAAATTTAGCTATTTTCTTGTCATCTGACCTACTTTCAAAGCATTTTTTCTCTAATCATGTTGGTTGCTCATAAAATAATATATATAACTATCAAATTTGAATTTTATAAAACCAAAAACATTTAACTCACTAGATTAGACTTTACAAAAAACTATTGTAATTTATTCGACTTTCTGACTGACCTATAAATAGGTTAAAATTATTCATCAATTCTTGAATCATAATATGTGGTCCAAACACATCCAGCTCTGATGACAAATGAGGTACCTTTATGACTCAAACAAAACAAATGATCATGTTATTTGTGTATTGTATAGTTTGCTCTTTCTCTTGGTTATGAATATGTCCAGTACAGTGATAGCAATATTAAAGACAATTGTTAAAAAATTTAGAGTATAGGAAAGGGCATGTCAATGTTGGTTGAAGAAATAACAAGGGTGTAGGGGACAAATTATAAATGGGGGGCAAGGTTTATTTCACTGAGCAAATTGAGAAAATGCATGCCACAGATGTACCCATTACAGCCACAATACAGGACTTACCTTAGGGCCCTGTAAACTCTTGAGTTTTGTATTAAATTTTATTAATTCTCCTGCTTTTCCTGATAGTAATTTTCCCAATTTGATGCATTTTAACTGGGACAGATTGAAAAGTGGGGGAGTGGCCTCTCCCATATCCTACACCACTGAATAATGTAATGCAAGAAGAAAAGAGGGTGAAAATTTATATTTTAGCTTGTAGATTATCTGTAGCACGTGCTCCTTATTGGTTGAAGAATCTGAAATTTAATCAGGGAAGAGAAAAATCTATAAATGAGAAATTACACTGCCACTAATCCATGTGACTCAGAGTTACAAACTGAGAATTTACTTAAATATTTCCTTTTCAAATTAAGAAATTATGACTTAGATAATATGAAAATTTGGTATACAAGTATATTGACCTACACTGATAATGAAGTTGAATTATATTTTGAATGTAACTCTGTAAAGGGTTGTAACATGTGCTCTTTGATTTTCTACACTATTCATAGAGTTAAGATGTAATTTAAAATTGCCATAAGACCTCAGAATTAAATCATGCAAAAAGAAATACTGTCAAATATCCAAAATATTTACCAATTCATATTGCTGAGATCAAATTCTATATTTTCATGCCCTCATTGTCTTATTTTTGTTTTCTTCATGTTTATTACTGCACACTTTCTGTTAATTTTCTAAATATTAAAACCCTTATGAAAAGGACTCCACGTATAGTTTCTACACATACATTTATGCATCCACATACACACATTGCCACATTTAGATGCTGATATTATTCATTATCAAGCATTCTGTTAGTTTATACAACTCTTTTGCTACTGCATGAGTCATTTTCATAACGTTTAAGTTATCAACTAAAGATATACTTGATAGTGATGATGGTAGTATCATCTAGGAGCCAGCAAACTCAGTTTCATGAAGTAAATAATCACTGGCAAAATCATAGAAGATAAGACATTTAAAAAATCTATTTACCAATATACACCTGGAGAAAGTAGATTATCCTCATTAATTATAGATCTAACTTATTTTTCCATGAAGATCAATGAAAATTCTATTAAGTAAAGGCCAGTATGCTCTGCAGTTTTCACTAATCAGCTAGATTTTCAGAGGGATTTTTTTGAAACATCTGATATTTTGAATTAGAAAATTTAATGAGTGACTAAGAAATCAATGGGTTGCAACACCTTTTTAAGTGCTGTTTTTTCAATCACATGATCATTGTAACTGTTGATAATCCAATAATGAAGTGATAAGTTTACATTATAGTACATACATCACATCAGTGCCATTCTATAGCTTGGAAAGCAAGGACAGACACTTTCTTTCTGTCTGTGATGTGCAAACCAGCAACTGCCCTAACTGTTAATGATTGAGTAGCAGAAGCAAAATGTATAAATACATTTTGCTGGACATTATTTGTTTGTTTGTTTTGAATTTCATGCAAAGCTACTCAAGAACTTTGTGCTTGCCATCCTTAATTTAACAGTGATAGACTAGAGGAAGACAGTTAGTAAACACCACCTACTCTTGGACTACTCTTTTACCAATGAATAGTGGGATTGACCATCACAACTGAAAGGGCGAGCATGATCAACAAATAGGCTCTGAAATCACAGGTTGCAAGGGAAGAGCCCTTAACCACCAGGCCATGCCAGGCATATGGAATTACTATACAATGGCTCAGAAATCAGGGAATGCTACTACTTTTTAATCATTAGTTGTTTGAAACAATGACTGTTTTAGCTGTTAATCAAATGGCTATTTCACAATGTAGTGCTTACATTACAGTATGGATCACCTGATAGCTTGGAAAACAGGGAATTCCACTTCCTTTCAATCATTATCATGTGTTCAACCTAGTGATCATTCTAGTTTTATTTATTAATCCCACCTATATCAATTGGGAGGCCTATGTTGGTGTTTCATCCAGTGGTTGGTGCTGGTAGTTGCCTCCATTTTGAATGACTGCTAAATAAGTCTTTACAGCATCCTCTCCTTTGTCAGGTAGGTTTGGAAGACTCAAGATGGCATTGTCATTCTCCTCTGACTTTTCAGTAGGCTCCTGGTCAAGCCAGTGCTACAAAGACTTCTCTGTAATGTATGGACACAGCTTATCTACATGAGTCACTTATCTTGAGTTAAGTGTATTGCTTGTTTCACCTACACAACTATGTGTTAATGTATACACTGCAATGTGTAATATGTTACTTTTCTTTATTCTGTTTTTAACATTCTAATTTGTTTCATGTTTAGTTTTTATAACGATTTTAGACGCTACCTGATGAAAAGTCAATGCCTAATCATTGTCAACTTTACAAGGTAAATTTACTATTTTCTATCTGCTGTTGTTTATTTTTGACAAGTACCTTTTTTCATTTCTAATGTAACTAGACTCAACTTGGCTAGAAACTAATATCAAGTTTTCCTGACCTTCAAAGGTTACAGCATTAATGCTGAAAGCTGGCAAAGCATTAGAAAAAAATAGGCTTAAAACTTCTAATAAAAATCAATGACTAGCTCATCAAAACCTCCAACAATCTTAACCCTCAACTACTAGTGTCAGAGTGACATGCAAATGACAAACAAACAATTACAACAGTGAGAAATAGAACTGCAACAGCACATCTGCTCTGCTCAACACTCAAAAACTGATTGAGGACAAAGGACAGAAAATATCAGTTAGAGAGCAGCATTAGATGAGTTGGAATATCAACTTGAAAAATTGATGTGGTTTATTCTGACCACACCCTACCAGTTGAGGTTTAATGTACTCATACACGTGTTGTTATGGTTCTGTATACTACTTTCCTGACCATATAAGACTTCACATGCTCATTACATTATGTCAATTCTAGAGCTTTCTGTAGCCAACAATACAAACATCTAAATATTTAAAAGCTTAGTTCAAAACAATATTTTAATGGAATTTTTGAAAAAGCAAAAATTAAGAAAATGGTAGTTTTAACACATTTTTGTCATTCTGATAGAAAGAGATAAAAAGCAAATGCAAATACATAGGTTTAATTACAAATATTCATTTAAAAACTCAAGATATTACTATCATTTTGTTCACATTTCAACCTTGTCTTTGGTATCTAACATGTTGGCTTACAATATAAAATTATTCAAGTGATTTCCTATTTCTTTAAAATTTGCTTGTAAAATTATAGTTGTAATTCAGAAATAAGAACACTGATAAGTACTCTAGCTTACAACCAAAACTCAAAGCACTAATCATTTGAAACTCACTACTCCTAGTGTGTAATGCTGAATTTCACTTAAATTTTGACTTTGGAAAATTGTAGAAGTCATTCACTGGAATAAATTTTTTATTTATATATTTTAAATAAATATGTCAACAATAAATGTCAGTCTTTATAGCAAAAGTACAAAAAGTTCAAGTGCAATAAATTTAAAGAGAGAATTTTCTTTACACAAATCTTTTCAGTGTTTTCTTTCTTTATGTTTTTGATCTGAGCCAACAGATGCTTTTGGTAATAATCACTATCACACTCAAACTTCTACATGAAGTTGGTCACTAATCAGTAGAATGTCTTGCTAGAAAAACAAACAAACTGTTGTTGGTGTTCAATAAGCTACATTCATTTCTGCAGTATAGACAATGATTTTATGACTGGAATAAATGCAATGTTGAAATAACTTTACTCTTACACAGTTGCAAATTTGTAACAGAAATTTGAACTTCTTTAATTCACAGTTGAATTACTCATTTAATTAATGAAGCCTTTATTCTATTTCAAGATTTCATTAGATACATGATTCAATCAGTACCAAATCATAGAAAGTATTTAATATAGTAATGCAAAAATCTTACAGAAGGTAAATCAGCTGATTCCTTTTAATTCATTATAATATTAATCACTTCGTTTACAGTTTTAGGCTAGCCTTTATTCATGTTATTTATGCAGATGTTAATAAAATTTAAGTTATGAAATTTAACTTATCGGAATATATGACATTACATACCACAAGTACATGTAGTATTAATTTTTACTGACTGATTTTCATACTGTTTATTATCATGTTTCATACTGTGGGTAAGACTAAAATCAGCTAGGAAAATTTTTAAATGCTCCTTTTTGTTTTTCAACTTTAGTGAACATATTGAGCAACAAAGTAATTCTTTTCTTTATCAGTTCCCTACAAAATGCAGTAAACACTGCAAATAGAAACTCTTACAGTATAAGTATAGATAAATTTCCAGCAGTATCACCAGGAGAAAGTATGAGAAATACATGCATGTTAGAATATGCATTTAAGAAATATTTCCACTTGATATTCCAAATCTTAGTATGTTCATTAAGCATCATTAAGAAAGAAAAAAAAAACAAGCAAAGAAAATTTGTTAGAAAATCTTAAGAATGACTACTATGAAAGTTAGGAGGGCTAGTAAGGTCAGGAACTATAAATTAAGAAATAAATGATTTTTAATGTGAGCACTTTCTTTACTGAGCTTATTTTAAAACATTTAGAGATTTCAGGTAAAATATTTTTATTTTGATGATCTACTTAGCTCAAAAGTAATTTTTTTATTCAGTTTATTATTTTTTAATGCTATTGTAAATAAAGGTAGGGAGTAATGTTGATAATATCTTATTGATCCAAGCAGTAAATATATTTGTATGAATACAGCTAATCTTTCTTTGTTTAGTCCAATTAAGTTCTCTTGTAGATTTTGCAAAATCATAACTTTAATTGGTGTTTGGATACTTCTGATAGAGCAGTATATTTACCACTTAAATATTTTGGAAGTTATCAGAAAACTCTCTTACAAACATTTAATTAACTTTGTTATTATGTACAGTGAATATGTATAATAGAAAATATTTGCAACAAAATTTGTTATACCAATTCTCATGTATGCATCAAAATGTTGAACAATATCACCAAGTATGGATAAGGGAATTGAAGCAATTCAGTTGTGATTCTTAAGCCATATCTTGAAGGTATGTTGGAAAAGTCACACCTCAAATGAAGATATTTTATCAAGAGAAGGTTGCACGAGGAAGATGCTGACAAACATTAGAAAGAGACAGTTGTAGATTTTTGGCCACATTATAAGGAAAGAGGAAATTGAAAGTCTGATTCTAACTGGAAAGATTGAAGAAAGTAAAGACCATGGAAGACAGTGGTTGACTTACGTTAAGAATCTATCTAAATTGACAAATGCATCAACTTTGTAAATGTTTTGTGCCTCAGGGAGAAGTTTGGATATGATACCTAGAGAGAGAAAGATGCAATAGAAAGAGAGTAATATCATTTAAATGAAATTTAACAATTCAAAATTTTGATATATGGTGTTGAGCACTTAAATAAATACAGATAAGAAAAGATGTCTGGGTACTGTTTTGGTTCGGTGCTGATTTAGGTTGAATAAATGTTTTTAAATCAGGTTGTTCATTACTTAATCAACCTGATATTATAATTATAGAATGGAGACAAGTTTCTTGTTATGTTTTATTGAGTATATGTATTGTAGCAGTGAAAGGATTCAAAAGTACTTGTTAATTTTGCTTTAATCAGCTGTACCTCTCTTGATGAGCATTTTAACTGATACATTATCTTTTAAGTAAGGTGATTCAATGATGTCAATAATATAGATAACTTTTGAGCATAAGAACCTTGGTATATATTATGAATCTGGAATGAGCATTCTGTAGCTTGGGATTAACAGGTTTGATTATTCTCTGAATTTAAATTTTAACAAGATGAGTATTTTAACACGGAAGTAATGATTTTTGCAAATATTTTAGAAAATTGCAAAATTTTGTAGCATTTTATTTTATTTAACAAATATATATTAATAATTTTTCTTAGAAATTGAATTTTTATTTTTAAAAAGATTAATTGGAAATTAGTGTAGAAATATGTAGTACATTTTTCAAGTTAAAGATGTATGATGCACTATGTATACAACACTTAGTGTTTTCTTGTTGTTAAATTTTAGTCCTTTTATAATTTTATTCCTCATGTACAAAAATTGTTAGATGTCACTATAGTAAATAGCTTTGTTTCATAAACCTTGTTTGGTTTTCTTGCATTTTAATAATTTTTATGTTTGATGGTGCTTATTGAAATTTCAGAACTACCTTATGGATGGGAAAGGCAAGTTACAGATGATGGTCATGTTTTTTATATAGAGTAAGTCCAACACTTTTCTAAAGATAATGCCATTATGTGTATAAATTCACATTGATATATACATTCTCACATTTTTCCTTTAATCCTTTTTCAAGCAGTGAATGTCTCTAGGTCAATGGTAATTAGAGAAAAGTATTTACTAGTAGGGGAATTTTCTAAACAAGAAATTACATTAAGTATATTTCCTAGACAAATGAAGAAAGAGGGGTGGTGGTGGCTGAAATTCATTATCTTGAATGTTCAGTTTAATTGATGATATATTATAAAATTAACAAAACAGTAAATGTACAAAAAAAAGAGAAAATAATATTTAGTTTTCAGAGAGAAATGGTGTTTCTAGAAGAAGGTGAAATACATAACATTGCAGTAAAACTTGACTTTTTACTGTTTTGTTGTTTTTACTTAATAATTTTTAGTATATTTTAATGTTGTTTTTTGTTTTTCTTCACTAAACACTAAAAACGTTTTTCAGTTTATTTCTTGCATTTTATTTATCAATACTTTGAATTTTTTGTGCATAAAATTTATTTCTACTCATTCACTAACATTTTTTTACTTTTATATCTTTAAATAAAAGTTTATTTTTAATTAATATACTAATGATTTTTTAACATATTTTGCTAATTAAGTAAGCATAGTCTTTGAAAGACTTAATTGATGACCTAAGAATTAGTCTACATCTTTGATCTTAGCAGTTGACCTATTTCAGATTATGAAAAGGGGTAAGTTATGCTTTGCAATTTGGGGACATAGGTGCTTTATAAGAGTGACAGTCTAATTATTTGATTAGATTTGCCCAAGGGTAGGTAGCGGGTGCTGTTGTCTTCCCTCAGTTTAGAATTAGTTATGGCTATTTTTGCTGTACATCAATATCCAAAACAAACAAACTGTAATTCTATAGGAACTTCTCAAGAGTTGCACTCATATTTCATCATTTCTGCTGAACAACTAAGAGAACACAAGAAGAAAGAAGACATCATTGTATATCTAGTGTGCAATAATGCAGCAATAGCAGCAAAGATGCTACATCTGAATTATATGAGGAAAACAGGAAAGCAATTATGTAGAAGTATAATAGCATAGGAAAGGTAGCAGAATTTAGTTGTTATTTTGAGGAGTTCTTATCGGTGGTTTAACCTCACTTGTCTCTTACCTCTCGATATCTCTGCCCAACAGCATAATACAACATACATGAATGATTTCCTGTTTCTTTACACCTGATACTTCTCTCACTAGGTTACATTTTAACTTTCTCACATTGCAGTTTGTACTTAGTTGTATTTGCCTGTTTTTCATGTACAAAATATTTTGTATTTTTGGCTTTGTTGCATCAGACATTTGAGAATGTCATCTTAGTTAAAGGAAATGCTTTCATTCTACATTTATTTCTTGTACATATTTAAATTAACATAAATTTTGTCATCTTTATAAATAAACAAATATTTTCATATAATGTTCAACTTAATGTGTTAGGAATATCTTTCATAAAACATTAAATAGTACAAATTTGTCAAAATTATAACAGTGTCTATGACAATTAGCATTTCAAGTTTTCTGCTTTTCAGATTTTCCTAAATTAGGAAGGATTGCATCTTGAAGCTCTTAGTAATTAAAAGAATATTACTGCATAGATGAAGAAATATATTTATGCACATAATTAGATCAAGTTCATATTTATAAAATGCTCATATTATTGTCATTTTTCCTTTCTTGAATAATTTATTCCAAGATTCTCTATTCGAATTACACCTATAAAAGGGAACTAATGTAATTTAATACTGCTTTAACTTCATTAGCTTTCCTTTCATCAAGTATTAAACTTAATAAGTATAGGCAAAACTGAGAGAGGTTGAATTATGGATTTTATTGCATTTATCTTGTCCAAACTTATCATAAAATGATAGCTGATTCTAAGTTGCTGAATGTGGACCAAATTTTCATCTTATCTTAAAAGATATGCAATGTTACTATTGACTAACATAATATTAAAGGAAAACAATGGACTTTTTGGTCCATCTAGGTTGTCCTATCTATTAAATTAAACTAAACACTAAAAAATTCAAAGCCATCCTTTGTCATTCAAATATTTATCAAACTGTCCATTAAACTGCATCTTCTACATCTGAAGACAACCTATTCCATAGGCCAACCCCCCCTGTTAGGAGAATAAAGCTGTCTTAGTTGAAGATGACTCCTACCATGTCAATACTTATATTTGTGTCCCCTACTCTTACCTTTCTTGTCATGTAATACAAGAAAAGATTATGCATGAACACCATCAGATCCCTTAACAATGTTAAGCATGTTAATGTGATTACCTCTAACTGTTCTTTTTTCAAGAGAAAATATGTTCAGATACGTTAACCTGTTCTGATACAACAACCTTTCCATCCTAGTTACCATCCTAGTAACCATTCTCTGAATCTTTTCCAACAATTCAGTGTCCTTTCTAAGCTAAAGAGCCAAAAATTGAACACAGTACTCCAAATGTGGCCTAACCAATGGACTATTCAATGACATTATAATATCTTTAGATTCATATTCAATATTTTTGTAGATACAACTTAAAATCCTATTTTCCTTGCCACTAGCAAAAGTACATTGCTTGAATGACTTAAGAGACTGATGAACCAAAACACTAAGATGTTTTTTCTTTCTTTCATAATACTGTTAAGGTTATTCCCATCAAAATTATACTCATAATCCACATTTGATATCTCACATGATTATAATAAGTAAAATTTGTCTGCCATTTATTTACACAATTCACCAAATATCCTAAATCCTTTTTTAAAGCACTAGCATGCTCCTCAGAGCCAACAACTCCGAAAACATTAATGTCATCAACAAATGTAAATAATTATTGATCATTCCTTAACTGATGTCAGGTTTTTATATATGGATGGACAGGATTCTTTACAGTAGGTGTCTGTGATTTGTTAGTGATAAATTTCAACAATAAACAAACAGCACACAGTCCACTTGTTTTAAAATAATATATTAAAACAAGTCAAATGTATGTACAAATATTCGTCACACAGTTAACCACTACAATTGTATCCAGAGTTTTAAATAATTTACTTTTTGTCAAAAAATCCACACAAGTTTGTTCAATTATATTAGAACATGATTGGCAAGAAAAATTGTTTTCTCTACTCTGATGTTGATGGTGATAATTTCACTTTAATAAAAAAAGCACTACTATATGCTCTTTATGGCTAAACACCCAATCTAACTCTAGCTATCTGTCTACCTATCTTTGTCTTACTTACTTGAACTACATTATGTATGTGTATTTATAGCCTGACTGAGGCCTAGAACTTTCAACACACTGAGATATCATGATGTAATAATACTCAATCAAAACGAGAAAAACTTGGAAGGTTCTGGTAACATGATGCAATAATACAAGTTACAAATCACAACAATGGAACTACATAATGTATGATTTGTACACAGTTATGTTAACAAACCTGTGCTAAACTATCGCTTCTAAAAATAACTAAATTTAACACTTGTGTTATACTTAAACAGAAATAGTCATGTATACCTTACAAATTATGTCATTGATGTAAATCAAAAATAGCACTGAGGCCTGAGGTACCCCTCTCATGACATAAAACCAGTTTGAATGAATTTCATTTATAACACCCCTTTGCTTTCTTCATCTATTCAATTTATTATCCCACTCACGTGCAGAGATAAAGTTTTTAACAAACATTTTGTGACACTTTGTGAGGTGCTTTCTAAAAATCCAGATACACCAATATCCTCATCTACATAAGCAGTAACATCTTTAAAGAATGTAAAAGGATTAGTAAGACCCGGCTTAAAAATATTTCTGTGTGCAGTAACTCGATTGACCATCTGAAATTGGGGCTGTCCGAGAGATTTTTTTGACATTATGACCTAGGAAATTTTTATTTTCACCAATTTAAGACAATATACCAACCCATTTAACAAAATTTGCCAACTTTATAATTTTTATCACCTTATTATAGTTAGGATATTTTTTCCCAAAAATTCTTGTAATCCATGAAGATATGGGAGGGCATCACATGATTAACAGTTTAATGCTGATTGGCCAATACAATGAAGTTTGACAACATGGCTTATCTCATCCCTAGGAACCTTTACACTAAACTAATAAATACAACTGATCAGGGGAGAATTTACTATTGACAACATGGCAGACAAAAGTCTGTTCAGTGTATCTGTCTCCATAAAAAGGTTTTCATGGATTGAGGATTAGAATCAAAAACAAATTAATTCTGATTGGAAGCTTATCCATGTGGAGAGAAGTACTTGTAGATTTACAAGGCAAATGAGATGAAAGAGAAGAACAAACCATAAACTTTTTGGCAACAGTCAATTCAACTTTGTCCATTGAGGTCGATATCAACCAGCAAGTGTGTTGCGAAAGAATTTAGAATTTGAAATTTCTGAAATTCTCTTCATAGAATAAATGTTGATGGTAATTGTATCCATGGTTTAACATGTTATTTTAGGTGATCAAGCAATTTAAAAAAAAAAAGATATTTACCTACCTACCTACCTACCCACATTTTAAATCAGTTTAGGGTTACAGCAAACAAAAATATTTTTAAGCCTGGCCTAAGGCAAGATTTTCCCCCAGTAAAACCATGCTGATTATCCAACAGAATTTACAACTTTATTGAATCACATTGCAAAGCATCTTTTATCAGACTTTCAAAAAATTTTCCCACCACTGATGTAAGACTAACAGGTCTGTAATTATTGGAACAATTGTTATCACTTTCCTTGGAAAGAGTAGTAAAATTAGCCAACTTCCATTTGTCTGGCCCCACACCTTATACCCAACACCTACAGAGATCATTTTTTTACTAGCCTTTTATGTGGAACCTTGTGAAATGCTTTCTGAAAATCCAGATGCACCAAATCTTTATCCATACCCTCATCTATATAAGCAGTAATCTTTTCAAGGAATGTCAAAAAATTTTAAGGCAAGGTTTTCCCTT